TTTCTTTTCAAGTAATGTTATTCTCAGTGTGTTCAAGTAAATCTTTTATTCAATTTTTCTACTAGGAAATGGATTTCTAAGAACACAGAAGGCTTTGCAAAGAATAATCAGACTAGTAAAACACTAGCACGATACTAAAACTTCACTGTTTCCACAGCAAATAATAAGCTTTGATGAACAAATTGTTGTTAAAAAGATCTTCTATTATTCCAGTATATGTCCATTCATGGTTCTGGGGAAAAAAATGGTGCAAGCAGCACATGGTTTTACGCAGTCTATAGTAGCCCCATGATACCGACTCTGCTTTCACTGAAATCGATCACGTAGTTCCCATTAACAATAAAAGGGCAACACTAGGTTCTAAAATAACCTTCCAGGACTGACACTGGAGTCACAGGGAAGCAGCAGGAACTCGATCTGAGCTTTTCCCTCTCTGCCACACACTGGGTGACTTGCAGTACTACCAAAGGTAGTGTGATGCCCTCTCAACTCTTTCCTACCTTGTTCCTGCTGCCGAGAACCGCAAGCAGTTACCCCCCAGTGCTCACTCCCTATAAACACCTTTTCTCTAAATATAACTTTAGAGGATTCAAAAGTTACATAAAAAAGTTAATTAGAAGATCATCACAGTTAAAAATTCCAACATACCTGTGTATGGACTTGTATGTGGAAGCATGTACACACAATACAGTCACACTAGGGACCAGGTCAGGTAGTCTATCCACTCTAAGAAAACTTCTACATGTGATGGAGAGTCATGTTTCGGTCACGGTGCTCAGCTCAGACACAGAGACCTGCTTACACTATTCACGTACAGGATTAGGGCATAACCTACATGTGCAGTTCTGATTTCTGCTGACTGTGTGCTATATATTTATGTTCTAAATACTAACACAGAACTCATCACATTTGACATGCAAGCACGCACAATCATATACATCCAATAGTATCAAAATATAGTGAAGATGACAGAAAAAAGCCCTATTAGAGTAAAAATTAAGCACAGGACAACAGATTGCTGGTCACCCCATACCAAAGCTCACCAAGACACAGTTGTGTGCACAAGAACACCTACGAACATCAAACCTATAACTTGGGTGCCAACCCACCTGGAAGGGAACACGAGTGTGGGACAGCGTGCCCACCTCGCACCATCTGGTGTGGCACACGTCGCCAGCCACCCGACACGCACAGCTGCACAAGCCACCCATGGTCCTCCCAGTTGTGCTGTCAGAAACGCATCCCATTTTCCCTTAGGGCATAAATTGTCCTAAACTTTCCCTGTCTTATGCCAGCTTACTTTATAACCTTAATGTTTCGGCGTAATTCCACAGCACGTGTACGCGTTGGAGGACTGCCCTTCTAACAATTCCGGTACGTAACAGAAATATTATAGCGGATCACATCAACCCAGCTTAGATCTCAACCAGCTCACCTAAGGGTTAAAAACAGAAAGTGCTATCCACCGGTTTGCTCTGATGTTCCTGTAGATATTGTCACTGGATGTATCCTCAGTAGAATTCTATTCAACACCTCTGTCTTTAAGTACAAAGCTGTAGGCTGTAGCAGCTTTAGGAAACATAAGTATCCTTTTTTCTGCTGCACAGTATCTGTGTGTGAAATTCTCTAAAGGGGTTTAAGTATTTACCCTGAACACTATCAGACAGTTTCTAAAATTTTCCTTATCCTGTTGCAAAAACACTTCAAAGAGAATCATAAACACAGTCCTTTGTGCTTTCAGCAGACACTTTGTTTTGGAAGCTTAAGTCTGAATTCCCTCAGAATTGTAAATATTTTTTTTTGAAAGATGTGCAATACAACTTTACTTTTTTTTTTTTTTAAAGATTGGTAGTGATTCTGCTACACATGATGCTGGATCCTTTTTTCTCCCCTGACAGTTAAAAATATTGAGGTCAAGAAAATTAGTGCCAAAAAAAAAGGAAAAAAAAATTAAAACAAGTATTCAACATCGGGTTTTCTTGTTGTTGTTGAAGATAAAAGGTACATTTCTAGAAACATCTGAATCTTAGTGTACATAAAATATAACCTGCAAAACTACATTTATTTAAAGGGTCTGGCCTAGAGAGATAAGAAAAGCCCCAAAAGACAAGAAATATGGCTACAATTTGTGTCTTTGAGATGCCATGTTGTGCCTACATTTCACAGCTCATTAGGCAAATACGATCACCCATCACCGCATGGCCCTCCAATAAAGGAGTATGACACTGCAGTATCTAACCACAACGGGAAAGCAAAAAAAGAAATTAAAATAATACCTCAGAATTTCTTGAATTTTGGCTGACAAGCTCAAACCAACTCAGGTGTCACTGAAGTTGGTGTGCATTTTTTGAAAAAAGCTAAACAACCAACCAGTCTATTTGTGATCCCATTGTATAGTGTTTAAAAATATAATTGGTTAGCTGTTTAAAGTGCTGAAGTCTACAAAAGGTAGCAGAATTCCTTTTAAATGCATATTTTGTCTTATAGCTTTTCATGGTTGTTTCTGGAACTGAAATACTCTGATTTAAACACATATTTATACCCTTGTTTTAATTTGGAGGGAAAAAAAAAAGAAAAATATAAAGGAAGAAATATATTACAGCCCTGGGCTGAGATTTTGTAGCTCAAGTTTCAGCCTAGACTCAATTCTAACTGTCAGGCTGTAAGCCCCTGACAATAGTGGCTTATAGCTGCAACTATGACATACTTCATATGTAGCACTAGTAGCAAATAATGAAATAGTCCGCAAAAAGGGAAGAAAAATAATTTTACAAGAAAACAGCTTGCTTTCTGATTTCAACTGAGTTGTATAAATAAAAGCATGCTACTGACGATAACAGTAATAATAAGACTCACAGTTTTTAAGAAGTTTTACACATCAGGATGAAAGTTGCAGTTTTCTGCAAAAAAGTAAAGTTGTACTGCACATCTTTCAAAAAAAAAAAAAGATAGCAGTTTGCATGAAATGCCACTGTGCTCATTAGAACTATGCAGAGTGTGCACACTTCTGCTTTTACACTACATTTGTAAAGTAGAAGGTGTGCTGCATTTCATTATCATTAGCTGGATGCCAAAGAAGTGAAACAAACGGTGTAACAATTACTTGTGTTTTGGCTGTAGCATTAAAAATCAGTTCTTCAAGATTCATGTTTCGTTCCTTTAAGCAGACCCTTTACTGTCAGCAAACGGTTATGCTGTTAAATATAACTCCAAATCAGTCATACTTTTCTCTACATTTTAGTTCTACAATTTTTTTCCTCTTGCCGAATTCCTGCATAAATAGGTGGGATTAAATGGAGCCTAGCCTACCTAACATAATTATATATGTTGTGAGTTTATACCGCAATGAAACGGATACATTTTAATAATCCCAGTCTTGGCTCTTACCCACTAAAGTCAATAAAGGTTATTAAGGCCAACTGCCATATAAATACATTGCTACATTGCTAAATGGACTGTCAAAGCAGGGAATACAATTCACACCATATAGCACTACTAGGGTCTTCATTTATTTTATTTAAAGGAACGCTAGATATGGTAAAAAAGGTCTTTAAAGATTCGATATTTAAGCATAATCACACATGTTTACTTTTCATTCCACAAACAAAAACCATTTGATTGATTTACATTTTACTTATTCAAATGTGAATCAGGCTAAAACAAAATAAACAAAAAGAGACTGTAGTACTTCCGCAGTTCTTACTGATTTGGCATGGTGTTAAAAAGATTTTCATAGCTAAAATAAATGTCAGATTGCAAGGCCTGCATGATATCAGACCCGGAGAGACAAATTGTCTCTCCACTGAATCTCAGAACAGCTACAGCAAGACTTGCTCACATCACATGAGATTTCAGCTTTTCAGACTTCTCTTTACCCAGAAAGCAAAGCTTGTACAGTCTTTTTTCAAATGGTAACTCTCCCTTTGAATTCAGCAAGCATTTATCCCGATGTTGCAGCCGATAACGTGTTAATCTTGGATGACTTTTTAAAAAAAAAAACAAACCCTCAACCATTTGAATAGCCTTCGTATTTTCAAGGGAGGGGGAAAAAGGGAAGAAGATTGGTTAAAGTGCTTTGGATTTAATGGTTCATAAATTCATGAGGTAATATTGTGGGAAATGTGATGTTTTATCAGAATGTCATTCAAATGAAAGGTTTAACATTTACATCACAAGAGCAAGTTCTAAGTAAAACTATCCTCAGGGAAAGAAATGCCAGGAATAAACATTATGATAAAATTGTGTGCTTGCTATAATGCATAAAAACATTAAATAAAGCCCAACGGTTTGAAGACACTGGGTTAAACTTCCTGCAGTATCATACTTTTCTGTGACGCTGGAGTAATTACAATTACCAGAATCAGCAATTATTTTGGAAACTTTGTTCTTTATTACTAGAACAAGGGGGGGAAAAAAAAAAAAGGCACGCAGGGACACATTTCTAAAAAAGTCAAGATTTGTGCAGCTCACACACAAAAGAAAAATACGTCGTTTAGGTCTTTTAAGAAATAATTTTTTAAGCAACAATATTCTTCTGAGACAAAATAAACAATTCTGAGGCATTTTCACTTTTAGTATTTCTGGCTTTTTTTTTTTTTAAGCAAAAGAATCATCCAGCTAAAATTATAAATTTGGGGAAAAAAACATCAACTGCAGACTACTGGGTACCTTCAAAAATACCATTTTGATTTAACTTAATGCTGTGGAAGCTAAGCATGCACCAAAACACTGCACTTTTTATGTTAAATTGCTGTTGAATTTGTTAACCCACAATTGATTTCCTGTGTTATGGAATCTTAGAGATTACAGCTAACTTGAAGCAACAGGAATAATTCTTGATGTTAATGCTACATTTCTATGTATTTTTATTAAGTCAATGCCTGCTGTTGCATCAAAACTGCGGCTCAACATTGCCCCCTACTGCCATTTTGTGAAATACTAAAGGACAAAAATGTAGGTTAAATCCAAAAAAACCCACCCTGCCTCCAAGTCCCGAATACAGTAATCATCAAATTTACTTAGAGACTCAACAAAACAGACATTCTCAATTAACATTCTCTTCTGTCTCCTTCAATAGCTCAAATTAATTGTGATTAATATGCTATAAGTCATAAAACATTAAAGCAATTTTTTAAAATTTAAATTAGAAGCAGCTTCCGTCTTGGCCCAACCTTCAGTTTGCTGATAAATATCGTCCTGAGGCCTGTTGAAAGGAGATACACTGACGCCACCGTGTTTCTAATTAGGGACACATGGTAATGTCACACCAATTGCTGAAAACCTAACCCTTGAGAATTCCCGAGTTTGCTGGTTTTCCATGTTCTCAACACACAATGGATATAAAATAACAATCAAACATTTTTGTCTTTGCCTCATCTAAGCCTCTGTTACAAGAAAGTTAAGTTGTCATTTGAAAAAAAAACAAACCAAAAGATTTTTTTAAAATTATAAAGGTCATTCAAGAATGTGAGTACGTAAGAACACAAAAATGAGGAGGAATACCAACATAAACAAGTTATAAATAATTTCTCTCCTTCTGTAGCAAATGTTCATGTCCACTGCTTAGTTGCAGCAACTGATTTCACAAATGAAAGTTCCACTTTTCCACGTTTGTTTTCCAAGTCTGAAACCAGCCATTGCTGGAAAAGCTTATGATAGGTTTGAGCCGGCTACTGAGTCATTTCCCTCAAACCTTGGGAGCATATTCTTGTTGAACCATACCTCCAGAGATTAAAAACCACCTCTCCTAAAAAATCATATTCAGCTTCCTCAGCTGCATGACAAACATTTCCAAGTCAACTACAGGCAAATTGAGGCTTATGCTGTGAGCAGCAGAAATGACAGAGAATGACATCTAATGCAGATGTATGGAGACGTAAAAGAGACGTTAGTTGATACAACAGTTCCTCCTGTGTACAAATCTGGAAGCAGGCATGATGGCAACTGGATCAAACACACTAGCAAAGTGTCCCAAGTTAGCAAGCCGACTAACCGTGCTTGTCACTGCGTCTGTTTTAAAGGAAAGCAGGGATGTATTTCCAAGTATATAGGAATCAATTATTCAAGAAATTAATTATTCAAGAAACTAAACTCCTCTTTGTTGGTCCCAGCTATGGTGTAGGTGTGCAGGTGGCCTACAGACAGACACAGGCAGTTGTACTTCCAGATCATAAGATTTTACTTAAGATTTATGTATTTGTACTTTATATATACTGGTACTTTACTTTCCACAGATGGATTCACCACTGTTGTTACTGGCAGACTTGTCTATCTTGGTGTTGCATGAAAAAGTCGACAATACACAGTTTCACGTAATGTAACGTGTGACTGTCATGTTACAAGGCTGTCAAACTTTAAAACCAAGAAAAATCAGGAAATAACCAAAATCTTGGGGTTTGCTCATATTTCTTTTGGCTGCTGGGGGAGAAAAATGAGAGGCAGCAGTGGAAGGCTGACATGGATTCCACTTTTCATATGTTCTGAATAAAGTTTAAATCCCGTTACTACAGTACAATTAAAAACATAATTGTGAATGCTCTCAGAATTAAGCTCTAGAGGCTTTAGACTATAAAACTAGTACTTACCATAATCTCCATTTTTCTCCAAAATTCTTCCAATTTAGCCATAGGCTTAAGCCACCAATCAGTGCACTTCAAATATCGCTTCCCTTGAAACCAAAACTGCCTAAGCCACTCAAATTCAACCTGCAAGATAAAAGCGTAACAGCAGCATAAACATCTACGTTCACTATTTGGGGCAGCGATGGAGTAAGGCATGAATCCAGCTACACCAGAACAACCCCAGGGAAAAGGAGAAGGTTAGCAAGGTACACCATTCTAAACGCAGCCTTGCACCCAGCTGTTTCTTTCTGTTCCACGTGAATTGGTGACCTGAGCTACTCCCTTCAAACCTAGAGAGGTGCAAAACACGTGGTACGTGTACAAAGAAGACTAACAGTTCAGAGTTACTCACAGCTCGGTCAACTGGGCACCGACTGTGGCTTATTTTGACGAACACTGTGAAATATTTCAGTCACATATAGTCCCTCTTCTAGCATGAGCCCGCTTTACAAGGAAAACCAACCCGCACTGAGGCAGTGAGAATTCCAGCAGGGCAAGTTAGTACTGCTATTTCGCACATGACACACGGCTAACCATGTGGCACTTCACTAGCTGGGGTTTTCCAGAAACTTCCATGTATGGATAGCCCATCAGCATTAACATGGAAGTATTAGCTGACTAAGCCATAACAAATGTATAACTCATCAGCTACTCTTTAAGCAAAATAATTCCATTTAACCTAATTTCCACTGAGCTTTTCTCCCTGTTAATAGAAATGCACAGTTCTGGTCTTTAGAATTCGGTGTTTATCTTCGTTGTGGTAGTTATGTTTCACACCGAGTTCAAAGCTGCTTTAATCACTGCTGTACCACAAAGAAGTTCTTGTTTATCCCAGCTCAGCTCCAATGAAGCAAACAAAGACAACCTGCCAAGGTGAAAAAATAAAGCAAGCTGCCCAAAGCCATCACCTAACTCTTTCCTGCAAGGGTGAACAGAGCGGCTACAGCGTTCCAGTTCACATTAACCAAATGTTTGGTCAATATATGTTGAAGATCACAATAAAAAATACCTAAATTTGAAAGGTATGAAAATAATACTAAAGCAACTTTGTTGGTAGAATATGACAACACTGCTAGTTGGCAGACACAGATCTTAAAATATTTTCCAAAGAACTGACTTCAAGCCTGGTGACTTTTTAGCCCAGAAGTTTGATGGCATCCTTCCTAAAAATAGCTGAAGGTAAGTTTGATTCTTCTGCAGCACTAACAAGGTCTGAAGGAGCAAGTTATGGTTTAGTTAAAAATCTGTACATGCAGTTTTGGGAAGACTCAGCATATCATCAGTTCAACTAGAGTTTCAAGCACTCAATACTTTTTTCTCCCCACACTTCTTAAGTTTTTGCTGACCTCTGCTACTAAAAGGGCTGTAACAAATGATGTCTGGCAAACATGTTTCAGGAAATTAATCACATGAGGCCATTAATCAATGAATTTTTTTTTTAAATAAAATCAAGGTTACAATATGACTCATCAAGAAAATCTATTTCAGTCAATCTGATTTTTTACCTGTCATTGATTTGTTACATTAATCCATGTAATTTCAGCCTAATTCAAGCCTGGCATCTTGGACAAATTTTAAATGCATCTTGATTCTCTACAGACTTTACAACTTGACACAGAAGAGCTGGTTTTCACACACAAGAGATAAAGCTTAGCATCAGGCTAGTAGACTTTCTTCAGGATTATCTGGTCTCATCAGAGGCTGGCACACCACATTGCAATGCATGGCTGCTCAGCGATGTGGACCACCATTCACTAGGGCTCTCAAACTCCGGTCCATGCTCATCGTGCAGTGCCTCGGTTTAGCTCTAAACTGAGTTAACAAAATGGAGGTGGAGGAGAAAAACAATCTTTCACCCACCAACTTAGTGATCAAGCTGCTTGACCAGTGACTGCTCTTAACTATCACTTCTGCACAGATGATTCTGAAAAAAAAATATAACCTTGATGAGACAATGGTAAAGTGATTTCTCTATCACTCTGTCCTTGTTTCAGACATGAGCAAACTACCTGATTTCCAGGTTACCTTAAAAGCTGTACATCCTCTTGCTTTCATTGAACTCTATTAAGTAATACCTTTTCCTGCAACAGGAGGGCACTCCTATTGGCTTGCCCTCCATCTATGAACAAGAACAACTGTACCAGGAAAAAAACCCACAACAGTACATGCTGGAGAGACAAAAAGCTCAATTTTAGCCGTAGTGGAACTGAAGTTGCAGAACAGTCATCTTCTCTAAAAAACTCTCAGGTTAACAGCTCTTGCCATGGATTTTGTCAGAGTTTTAATTTGGAGACTGACATACAGCAGAGCTAAGTTTAGTTTGCACTAGAAAGCATTTACATGACTGACCAGGACAAAGCCTAAACATATTAACATACAAAAATATATATAATGCGTGGTTTAGCAACAATTTTAATGTCCTAATCAATTTTCACTTATGATTTAAATCTGTGCAAGTAAACTCAGAATCATATGTCTAACCTCAACATATTTTCAAGTTGTCCTTTAAACAATGATTAAAGGCCACTTTTAGGTTATAGTCAATACTGGGTAGTAAAAGGCCAGCAGTAGCATTTGACATTTTGTGAGGCAGTGCTCCTCAGTCAATTATTTAAAAGTATTGGTTATGAAATGCCACACACGTAGGTGATCTATATTTTCTCTTCTGTACTAGCCAGCCACCAACCATGCTGTCAGCTCACTGTCATGTGCTAAAACATATTAACCTTCCTTTGGCTGCATACACTGCTACACTTTCTCAGCAATGACCTCAGTGTCTAACACCATGTACCTCCAACTTAGCTAGCCCAGGTTTTTCAACATCCTTGTGCATTTACTACACTTAAACTGCTGCCATAAAAATAGATCTGCTGCAGGCAAGTGACTGCACCTCACAAGAAACAGAGCAACCAATTCCGTCTCAAGCTTTAATCATGTTAATCAGGATTTGATAGTCATGGCTGAGCAAAAACGCTGATCAGGACAAACCCCTACACTTTTCAAATTTGAAGACTTACGTTGAAACCTGCTACATTTTCAACACAATCCCCATACGCTAGAAGACTTCCTCTAGTGTTTACTTCATACAGAACATCCGATTATTAGTTTGGAGTTGGCAAATAAAGAAGTCTTGACACTACCTCACACAACATGAATTTTGCAATACTCAGAGCAAGTAAAACAAATTTTCTTTAAAATATTAAGAATAGGCTGGTGATGATCCTTTCTGCAGATTTATTTTTCCATGTATGAACATTTACATCATTGATCCAGCAGCGTTTTATTGCTTTAAGAAGCATTTTCTCACTAATGGGTTTCCCTAGGTCCCCTATAGCTCTGTTTGGGATACACCCAGCAGCTGTATGTATTTTGGAAAGCCAAGTGTGATTCAGTAGGGGCAAGAGGTTCCTATTCAGTGAACTCTGCAAGTTCATTTATTTCAGGATAAATTGCTACTGGCCAAACAGCAATCTGATTGCTTAACAGGATAACTTCATTACACCTCCAACACTGTGCATTTTTAGGCTACAGTGCATCACAGCTGCCCAGGCAATTACTCTGCAAACCCTGTTACGCTCTGTTCACCGAATACCATGCTGCTGAAGTGTAGGTTCAGACTTCCAGCCCATAACCTATTCAGACAAGAAGCACATGAACACCCTTAATTATGGTTATCTTTACTTACAAATACAAAGTACAAAAAGGGAGTGAAGTGACTCACATATCTAACAAACAGCACATACCTTGCAATTACTCAGATATTCCTTTGAAGGCTGTTTTAAGTGAGGGAGACCATGACAACAAAGCCAAGTCTAAAGAAATATTAAACATCTACCTGGCTGCCTGCTAGAGATGCTAAAAACCTCCTCAGGTTAGTATCTTAGTTTTTCGACACGAAGACCTCTGTCAAGACACCCAAGACAGGGCTCTGACAAATGATCTTTGGGTAATCTAACATCAGTAAAGACATCCCGAGATACTCACCCTTTTGGAGGTTTCTCTGCCCACCACAAAAATGGAAAAAACTAGAGTCTCCACCTGTGCTTCAGATCATCAGTTCAAAGCCACTTTATCAGCACAGCAAGTCAATTTTCCTACCCAGGAATACAGAAGTGAAAGCACAGAACCATACCTCATTCTTTCAGACTTGCTCTTAGGCTCTTTCCCCTCTATCAGACAGAGATAATTCATCCAGACCTCATTTGGCAGAGCAGTCTATTTCAGCACGGGCTGATTCTGTGCTAAACTACTGCATTTTAGCTTCGTCACACACAGCCTGATGGTACTGTGACAGTTCTGTTCCGGTTAATGGTCTCTGATGAGTACTTCAGAGGTACCAGCAGCAGGGGTGAAGAAACCAAATCCGTGGCATTTCAGGAAGATAAAGAATCCAGAACAATGGCTGCAACTACTCAACCGAATTAAACCCTGGGAAGAACTTGAGTTCTTTGGTAACAGCTGAAAAGTGAAAAAAAACCGCACCACCTTCTCCAGAGATGGGAATACCACCTGATTTCAAGATCGTGATCTCTGGTCCAGAATAACAGCAAAAAAACCCACACAAGGGGGTTTAGAACTGCCACAGAAAGCTGTGTATTAGACAGGAATACACAGGCACAATTTTGTGGCAATTCTTTATTAATTCTGTTCAGTTTTTTGTGCAATTTTATCTTCTGTGTTTAAAAAATACTAATAAACTAAGGAATTAAAAGTGACCAAATCCTGACCACACCAATCAAATGAAGACTCATTTTCATCAGTATTTAAATAGTTTGATTGTTTAAAGAAACAAAACACGTTCTTGTTTTTCACCTGCCTGAGAAAATTTGGACCTAAAAGTTGCATTAGTGCCTGAAATTACAAAGTTTTATCATGCAGTGAGTAAAAGAAGGTAGGAAGCTTTTATTTGCCACAAAAGGTAGCATTAGGCCCGCAGATCCGCATGTTTTCACTTTGGTGATGTATAAAAAAGAAACGTGCATTTACCAGAGTGGTAAGCCACCAGTAATTCTGTCTGCTTGTACAGCAAATAAATGAAATCTAAGTAGCACTTTAACATACAGAATTTATCCTGCAAGAGAAGAGGTGACCTCGGAATAGCAAAAAAAAAAAAGAGGTGAGGGGGTATTCTTTTTTCAAATGAAATACAGATCCAGTGTGTCTACTAAGTCTAAGTGCACAATATGTACAAGTTAAACAATGATTTCTGTTACAGTATATCCCATATGTGTAACAGGAAACATCCCTGTATGTCACATAGCAAAATCATTCAGGTGACTGCAAACACCAGGGGTAGTCTCTCACCTGATGTAAACGGCACATGTCTTTGATGTTAAAGGACCCGTGCAAATTCACACCAGCTGTGCATGTGGCCCTAGCTGTGCAAACCACATATGCGTGTAGTTTTATGGACTGAGCCTGATTAATGTTTTGTAAAACCTTGCATGCATCAGACTTCTTTAAATTGCTCAAGGAGCTGTTTTGCTAAAAGTCAAGGGTGCAAATCTTTTGCCATCACTATACTCAATTTTTCCAACTGTAAACACAATACAGATAAAAATGTGTGCTGCAAAATTTTAGTAGAAATACACAATATTATATTCCTCAGCAGAGAGCAATTTAAAACAGTTTACACAAATTCTAATTTAAGTGAAAATTACCTATGTACTATACAGCATCTAATAGTGACCATGCTTATGTTGGTAGAAATACACCACAGAGCCTTCAAAATGTCTGACTATAGGAGTGCTGTAAAAAAACCCGC